AAAAAATCATATACCACTACCAAATGGAATTTACTCCAGTTATACAAATATCATTTAGTTCAGTTTAGTTCAGTTCAGTCGCTCAGTCATGTCTGACTCTTTGCAACCCCGTGAGCTGCACCACACCATGCCTCCCTGTCCATCACNTGATATTTCTCCCGGCAATCTTGATTCCAGCTTGTGCTTCTTCCAGTCCAGTGTTTCTCATGATGTACTCTGCATAGAAGTTAAATAAGCAGGGTGACAGTATATGGCCTTGAGGTATTCCTTTTCCTATTTGGAACCAGTCTGTTGTTCCATGTCCAGTTCTAACTGTTGCTTCCTAACCTGCATACAGATTTCTCAAGAGGCAGGTCAGATGGTTGGGTATTCCCATCTCTTTAAGGATTTTCCACAGTTAAATGTCATTTAACACACAAAAATCAATGTAATACAACATGTCAGTAGAATAAAGAATAAAACCACATGACCACAATAGATGAGAAAAACCACAGTGGATGAGAGAAAAATTTGACAAAATCCAACACTCTTCTATAATAGCAACACTCAACAAACTAGGAGTTGAAGGGAATTTCTTCAGCCTAGTGAAGGGCATCTACAAAAAGTCCAGAACTAATATCAAACTTAAAGGTGAAAGACTGAAAGCTTTTCCACCTAATATCAGAACAAGGCAAATCTATTCTCATCACTTCTATTCAACGTTGTACTAAAGATTATAGCCAGAAAATTGGTGGGGAAAGTAAATAAAGTCACCTAGATTGGAAAGGATAGAGTACAATCATAGTTGTGGATAATATGACCTTCTAATTATAAACTCTGCAGAAATCTACAAAGCAAGCAAACAAATAAAAATGTCAGAGCTAATAAGTGAGGTCAGCAAGTTTGCAAGAAATAAGACCATTAATTATATTTTATACACTGGCAATGAACAGTGCAAATATTGAGTTAAGAAAATAATTCCATTTATTATAGCAACAAAAAGCTATGTAGCAGTAAATCCAACAAAATTACTGTAATATTTGTTCACTGAAAACTACAAGACAACTTTGGAAGTAATAAAATACATAAATAGTTAGATATCCTGGATTTATGGATTGAAAGACTTGGTGGTGATATTTCCCAAATTGATCCTACAAATTCAAGACCATTCCTGTCAAAATCCCAGTTACTTTTTTTTTCACAGATATTGACAAGCTAATCCAAAAATCTATATAAAAGTACAAGTGATACAGAATAAATGAAAATGTTGGAAGTCTCACACTCCCTGATTTCACAGCTTACTACAAAGCTACATTAATCAAGATGATATGTTATTAACAAAAAGACAATTGAATAATGAAATAGGATTGAGAATCTGGAAATAAAGCCACATATCTATAGTCAACTGAGGGTAAAAAAGGAGAGTGAAAAAGCTGGCTTAAGACTCAACATTCAAAAAACTAAGATCATGGCATCCAGTCCCATCACTTCATGGCAAATAAATGGGGAAAAGAGGAAGCAGTGACAGATTTTATATTCTTGGGCTCCAAAATCACTATGAATGGTGACTGCCACCGTAAAATTAAAAGACACTTGCTCCTTGGTAGAAAAGCTGTGACAAACATAGCATATTAAAAAGCAGAGACACCACTTTGCCAACAAAGGGTCATATAGTCATAGCAATGGTTTTTTCCAGTAGTCATGTATGGATGTGAGAGTTGGACAATACAGAAGGCCGGGTCCTGAAGAATTGATGCTTTTGAACTGTGGTGTTGGAGAAGACTCTTGAGAGTCCCTTGGATGGCAAGGAGATCAAACCAGTCCTGAACATTCACTTGGAAGGACTGATGCTGAAGCTGAAACTCCAATACTTTGACTGCCTGACGTGAAGAGCTAACTCATTGGAAAATACCCTGATGCTGTGAAAGATTGAAGGCAAAAGAAGAAGCCAGCAGAAAATGAGATGTTTAGATAATATCACCAACTCAATGGACATGAGTTCGAGTAAACTTTGGGAGATAGTAAAAGACAAGGAGGTTTGGCATGCTGTAGTCCATGAGGTCACAAAGAGTTAGACACAGCTTAGTGATCTGTACAACAATAACATAGTCAATTGATACAGACACGATGCTGAGATCATTCAATGGGGAAATTTCCACAAATGCTGCTGGGACAACTATATGTCCACATGTAAAAGAATAAGCTGGACCCCTTCCTCACATCATATGCAAAACTTAATACAAAATGGGTCAAATGCCTACATTTTAGAGCCAGAACTACAAAAAAAAAAAAAAAAAAAAAAAAGAAAAAAAAAAAAAAAAAAANGAGGAGAAGGGGACGACAGAGGATGAGATGGCTGGATGGCATCACCAACTAAACAGACACGAGTTTAAGTAAACTCCAGGAGTTGGTGATGGACAGGGAGGCCTGGTGTGCTGAGATTCATGGGGTTGCAAAGAGTCGGACATGACTGAGTGACTGAACTGAACTGAAAGTAAGTTTGCAAATTATACATCTGATAAGGCACTAATACCTGGAATTTGAAGAAGCCTCCCAACTTAATAACAAAAAGAGAAAAAAGTCAATTTAAAACAATTTTCAAGGTATTTGGACAGATATTTCTATTTAATCTTGACAAATAAAGGCCATTCTGAATTCTTAAAAAAATCTATGTACTGACTTGTCAGAATTCCAGAGTCTCTGCTTTTGCCTTCTTTCTCCTGCCTGCTGCTTTTGTTCACTAATTTAACTGATGTGTCAGGAATTTTACCAAGAACTAACAGGGTCAGAGAAAGGTCAGAATGAAATTGTTCAATTTTTCTACTTACTGAAAAAAAAGTCCAAGAGTTTAATAGAGTCAAAAAGTGATTATTCAAGTGTGTTAGAGTCACCATATGGACCCTGACTGTTTGCTCTTTTCCTGTTGCTCATCATGAGAAACAGATAAAATATATGTGAATCTTAAAGCTATCTGTAAATTATAACTTGAAAATGTCTTTACTGACAAAATAAAAATGTTATTTATCTGCTGTAATTGAAATATGATTAAGTGACTAAAAAACTTGTCTTCAAAATGTGAAGTGAAAGTGTTGTAAGTTTCTTAAAATTGCATGTGTGCATGCTCAGTCACTTCAGTTGTGTCCGACTCTTTGTGACCCCATGGACTGTAACCCCCAGGGTCCTCTATCCATGAGATTCTTCAGGCAATAATACTGGAGTGAGTTGCCATTTCCTCCTCTAGGGAATCTTCCCAACCCAAGCATCGAACCCTTATCTCCTGTGTCTCCTACATTGCAGGTGGATTCTTTAACCACTAGGTTACCTGGGAAGCCTCTCTTAAAGATCAGGTCTCTGTTATTGGAACAATCTGTTTTTCCCTATTTATGGACAAGAGACAACTTGGGTTAAGAATGTGACTTTGCAGTTGGATAGATCTAGGTTTCACTTTTGGTTCCACAACTTTCTCCCTTTGCCGATAAAGGTGAAATGTTACAACAATTATATAATTATTGAGGGACTGAGGTGGGAGTTAAATAAGATACAGTAATGTGAAGTGCTTAGAACAGGAGCTGACATGGGATGACTGTTCACTGAATGGCAATAATAGCATCGGTATATAATATTACTGTGTCTACTAATGGCAGGCCTGCCTGGTGACTCAGCAGTAACGAATCTGCCTGCAATGCAGGAGACCCGTGTTCAATCCCTAGGTCAAGAAGATCCCCTGGGGGAGGGCCTGGCAACCCATTAGGGTACTCTTGCCTAGAGAATCACATGGACAGAGGAGCCTGGCAGGCTGCAGACCATAGGGTCGCACAGAGTCAGACAACTGAAGCGACTAATGGTTCCAGGAACAAACATGCTAACTTCATTTACCTAACACAGTCAATAGTGAAAACTTGTTTTTCTTTGAACAATTAATTTGGCTATACACTCATGTGAAGAATTTAGTAAAATAATTTGATTGTTAGGGAGAGAGGATTGAATGATTTAATGAAAGTCTTTGTAAGTTTTTTTCCCAAAGAGAATGGGTGGTCATGAATAAGGAACTTATTTGTCATTAAATTGCCAACATCAACTAAAATATAACAGAAGAAAAGGTTCAGAAAGTTGTATCAGATATCCTAAAAAAGCCTTCGTGGAAAGAAACATAACATAATGTTGTTTAGAAAGAAGTCATCAGTACCTAACCTTATCTGAGAAGACAAGTCAATTATTTAGCCTCCTATTAGAAGGCAAACCCTGTGAGAACAGGGTTCCTTGTTTTGTATAACAGATTTAAAGAAAAAAAATTCAGAATAAACTTATTTACATTTCAAAACATTTTTTTTTTTAAAATTAGGGATCCATGAGCTGAACTTGTCTCTAATACAGTTTTAGAGCAAATACATCTTAAGTCTCTTGTGAGAAAAAGTAAATGCCAAGATCAGAGGTCACTACTGCATCTTCAGTCGTAAAACTGTAACTATAGATATACCAAAAGACTTTTACTTAAAAAAAAAAAGTACAATTAAAGCAAGTATTAAAGAGAGTAATTGATGGGACATCTGCCAACTTTGAATTAATTAGATTCGGCCTTAATTTTTAAAAGTGTTAGCTGCAGCAAAATGATAGAGTAAGACATTAATGTTCCCATTATGATTCACTTCAAATTTGAACTCTTCCCAGCTCAAATCTGTTTGGTTGGTTAAAAGTGAAGTGATGGTTGCAAATAACAACTGTATCCAGAAAACTATACCCAGTTCTAAATTAGCCAAATGAAAGGCATTGTTCCATTTCATTGTTATGAAAATCTAATTGACAGGTTCTCTAGTCTTAGTTTTAGCTTTATGAGGTGCATGTGTCTGAGTACGTGTGCATGAACAGGAACGCCTGCTTTTAGTGAAATGGGCAGATATGAGATATATTGATTGGGTTCTTCCTGCCATTGAGTGAATAGAAAACCTGTCACTTCTCCAAGCAGTGAATCATGTTGACAGAGAGCAATACATTTTATAAGGTTTTTTTTTTTCTTTGTTCAGATCATTTGTAGTTGAAGCACATTTGCCACCTTTTAAAAGTGATCTCTGCAGCATTCCAGAGCCATTGAAATATTCGTCTTGACCTGGATAGTCAGTTTCTCTGCTAGCACAGAAGAAGATTTTTAACATGAACGTGATTCTATCAACCACTCTTTGTTTTGGACTCCTAACTTTGTTATCTGTAATGATCTTTTTAGAATCGGTGCATGGGCTGCCATATTTTATTCAAGGTATGTACACATGAATGCAAAATCCTACAGGTGGGTAAATAATCCTTATTCTCCTATTTGCGTTGCTTTGATTTTTCTATCATTATGGCAATAATGTTTTAAACATCAATATAATTTAATCTTCAGACAACCCTTTAGTAGTTGCTGTTTTAAATTAAATGTAATCTGCGATGCTGTTCTCAAGTTAATTAATTTTAACTGACACTGTACTAAATTAATTTCAACTGCATTTGAAATTGCATTTGAAAGGGAAATCTCTTACTTATTTCTCTTCCATTAACAAAGACGGGGATGTATAAATAGTAATACAGTGCAATGCATATTTCAAAAGTACATCTTCAGGAAAAAATAAAAGAGTTTCATCCAGTGAGATTATTAGTAAATTACTTATAAAAGGAGAATGACTCCGAGAACATATCAAGACAACACTTTTATGTGCAGAGACCTAGGGAGAATGATACATTGGGAAATTTATATAGTACTTTCAGGAGGAGGATGTTAACACCCACGTAATTCATTGACTGTAATCAGATTTCTAAATACTTAGGGTACTTATATTAAATGAAATAATATAATTTTTGACATCTACAAATACCATGATAAATTTAGAGAAAATAAGTTTCTATTCTGGTCATATTGGAACTTGATCTTTTAAAAAAAAATTTCATTGCATTCTGTAGTGGAAATAGCTTTTAATCTGGGAATCAGTGGGGTTAGATTTAATGCTGATTTACTAGGCAAACAACCTAACCTCATTGAAAGTTTTATATGTCTTTACCTTTTAAAAATAATAACTTAAAAATAGTGCTGTTTAATATCTTGTCCAATTTGAATCGATCATCTAACTGACCTCTTTGTCAGGAAGAGGGAGACAGACAGCCTTTGCTTTTGTCTTTCTTAGGCAAACCAAGACAGAATTTAATAAATTTTGTTTACATGACTCTGGGTTGGAAAAAGGGATTAACTTTCCTCTTTCAGATCTAATCCAACTTTGCTGGACCGTTTTGCATCAAATGTGGTTTTAAAAGTCAATGAAAATTAGAACAGTTCTTTTGATAGTGGAAATAAAATTGCATAAACCCTTCTTATTTATTTATAGGGATTTTCCCTTTGAAAAACAAATACAAGCCTGGGACCTAACTGCAAGACCTAAATACAAGCTTGGTGATGAAAGAATCTGGATTTTATCTTAGGCACTCACATTTTGTCTTTGGCCAGCCAAAATCATTGTACTTGGTAGGCCTTCATTGCTTTTCCTATGAAATAATGGGATTTTCAATGTTCTTAACAGCATAAATGTATGAGGAAGGAAACATCTGGCCATTCACAGAAGACTCTGCAAAATGAGGATGTTAGTGGTAACTGTATTATAACTTCTGATATCATGTATATGAAATACAGAAAAATCCAACTTAAACTTTTTCCTAGATTAAAAGGAGATAACATCTCTAACCCCAGAATACCACACACTGATGTCCATATATCATCAGCAACATATAGGAAAGGTTTCTCTCTGGGACCCCTTGATCTCAGTTTCATTATTTGTAAATAGAGAAGACAAGTTATTGAGAAGTTTATTTTCTAATCTAAATTGTCCAGGATTAGAGTAAACCTCACCATTTTTCAAAGCAACTAAATGTTTGACTTATTTTAGTCTTTTAACACTGTTTTCAAATAAGCATTTGTCCACTGACAGACCAAAGGTGGGGTACCATCCTCTCTGTGTTAGATGCCACCCAAGACCAAGAACACAATCTTCCAGCTTTCCTATGGTTTTGGGGTCACATGAAAGCGTGCCTCATAAGCCTGAAACTGGGCAAATTGCCTACCGTGAAAGAACAGCTGTGAATATCATGACTAGAAAGACTATTTAAAAGTTTTTTGGTATATTATCATTTGAGGGTGTTCCAGGTTTCTTTCTGGCAAAATTTCTTATCTATACCCCATAAAAAGCATCACATTCAAATGTCTCAGGTGGTAATGAGTCTTTTTTTTCCTTGTATATTGCAAAAGTAATCACTCATTTCTGAGTAACTTTGCCATCCTTTTTGCTAAAGGGACATTGGCACTTGGGTAGTTTTTTTATTCGAAGAGTTTCTTTATCAACACTAACTTTTAATTCAAAGACAGAAATATTAAAAGTACATGCATCTTTTCTTTTAAAGCTGTATCTGTTTTAAGACTAAAAATAAAAATGAGAAAAAAGATTTATCTTCTATTATTTTTCTTATCTTTCTGATGTCTTACTTTAGAAAATTTTTTTAAAAATTTCTTAAAAAAAACTTTTCCTCAGAGTTTCCTTTAAAAGGTGGTTTCTTAAAAGGTAGTGACAAAAATTTCTGAGAACAGTGTGTAGTCACTGGAAACCAAATAGGTAAAGAATGGTTAATACATTAATTTTCTCTTTTGAAAATGTTCTACTTAAACACACAGAGAAAGGGACTGTAAATTAAGCCAACAAAAGGTTCAGAAGGTAACATTTTCTAGCTACCTTCTTCCTAGTTTTATAAATTCCCTAAATTGAAGGCAACGAGTCTGTTTCTTTTATCACAGTTCTCTTTCTAAAACAAATAATCATTATCACCTGGCTACACAGTGTTCCTCACTTTTTCAATGAAAGCATTTTAAAGATTATAATTTAACATTTTAATGAATAGATATAATAAAAATTGCTATACTATTGCATAGTTATATCTTTTTTCTTAAACTAAATTATTCCTGAGGGTCTTTGTTTAATTGATGTTAAGCAAAAGTTCCATTGATAGTCTATTATTTTAACTACTCCAAGAAAAAAGAACCCCAGAATTTCACAAATAATTTCTATGCCTATGAAGTAATGGAAATTGAGGAACTTTAAAACTGAGGAAATTGAGCAACAATAAATGTGTTTGTCAATGTAGAAACTTTGATGATGCCACCTACCCCAGGTCATTTATTGTCTTTCTCAGCAAATCGTTTATTCCTTTAATTAGCCATTTAGTTATTTGAGTTCATTAATTGACATTTTGGAGACACAGGGAATAGGAGACAATTTAAAGGAATAGCCTAGTTAAATTATGAGCCATTTCTCTAACTGAAGCCTCAATATTCCCACTTTTAAATTTTAAACTCACTAATCTATCTTTTGTCCACACAATATCAGTTACTATGACTGAACTGGAACAGGATCTTATGGTCCTTGCCCCCCCTAACCTCCTTGCCCATGTCCTCAGACTTCCTTTTTTTTTTTTTTTTTTGTGGAAAAACTTTAGACAAAGAATAAGTTTAATCGGAGAACTGAGAAAATGAAGAAACAAAGGGAAACAGTCAAAGGAAGCCCAGTAACAATGATGTAGTCTTTAAGCATAACCAAGGACCTTTAGTTCCTCCTAAAGGGCCATAGATAATATTCTGAGCCATATCCTGTGAGCCATCTTATAGATACTGAAACATCAGGTGGAGAAATTAACCACCTGATGACCAAACTGTAGTCATGACATATGCAGCCACAATGCTGAGAACTGGCCTCAAAGAAATTGAAACAAACTGACCCTGGAACTGAAGATTAGCAGTACCTAAAATAAGCAAGATTACACTGGTCAGACCACTGATGACCAATTTCAAGATGACTATCAGAGCTGACATGTTTATGCATGTAGCCCCCTCCCTCAGCCTATAAAAGCTCTTGCCCCCTGACAATTAGGGGGCAGTCAGACATTGGACGGTTCTCTGCCCTCCCCATCCCTCCTGGTTGCTGGCATCCAAAATAAAGCAAACTTTCCTTTCCACTAAGCTGGCCTCTTTGAATGGCTTTTGAGTGGCAGCAGCTGGACCTGGGTTTGGTAACATGAGGAGGAAAAGAGAGGGAAGAATGATCCTATAGAAATTGTATGATAAAGGTTTGATTATTTTAGGCCACCTTATAAAGTTCATTTTGTTTATAAGACACTAATTATTATTTTAATCGCATTACAATCCTGTTGAATCTTCATTTTTTATAGCTTGAATAAAGTCTATTGTCCTAATTTCTACCCCAGAATCAAAATATTTAGGAAAATTTGGTTGATTTTTTCTGTTTTTAGAGTGCTGAGAGAGTGGGCTGGGAGGTAAATGGACAAAGATCTAAAGCTATGAACACAGAAAAACTAGGCACCATCTAACCACTTCCACAAGGTTGCCTTGGATGGTTCAAGGCAATTCCCAGAACACAAAATGGCTCATATTTCTATGTGTATAAAATCTCAAAGTCAAATTTTACATTTTTATCTTAAAAACAACAACTTTTAATTTATATTTTTTATGTTAAACACAATAGTAGAAAATTTTTAAAAAAAATACAGATGGAAAAACAAATATAGCTTACTGTAATTCTACTAAGGCAGAAATAATTACAGGTAAATTTTAGACTGTAAACTTCCAGGTATATTCTCCATCTTTGCTTCCTTCTCTTTCTCACAGTCTCTCTTTGAGGGTTCATGTACATTCGGTGATTTTTAAAACAGTTTGTCTTTTTGTATTATACATATCTCTCTATACACTTTTATTGGCAAGTATACACACTTTCCAGATTATGCAGTGGTAAGGAATCTGAATGCAGGAGATGCAAGAGACTCAGGTACTATCCATGGGTCAGGAAGATCACCTGGAGGAGGAAATGACAACCCACTCCATTATTCTTCCCTGGAAAATTCTAAGGACAGAGGGGCCTAGCGGGTTAAATTATAGTCCGTGGCATCGCAAAGAGTCGGACATGACTGAGCAACCGAGGACACATATGCATTAATAGTTACCTGTAAAATCTATTTAATCAGAAACACATTCAAGTGACACAGATTGAAAAGAGCTTTCACTTCACTGAGGTAATTATTACAGGAAATGAATTGCTTCCAGATAAAGAAGATACAGATGGTGAAGAACTATTGCGGGCTCTACTGAACAAAAATTTTGGCTTCCAAAGACCTTCCAACATTGGTGAGTTAAGAATAAAGTCAAACATTATTTATTCCATCTTCTGACCTGTTTTCTCTACATGTTAATTTATATTAAAGAAAGTAATAATTACTAATTTAAAGCTACACTGAAGGCTTGTCTGTTATTTCATATTCATGCTAAAAGCAATGGCATTAATAAAAAACATTAAAATCTTGTTTTGTTCAATTAGAGTATTCTAATGGGGTTAGTAATGGTCGAGTTACAAAACAGTTATCCTTACTTATATTTTTCCCTCTCATCTATGTCACTCCCCACAGGTACAGTTAATATTTTCTTTTACTAAATGCTTCGAGGGTATTATTAAATGTTTTGAAATAGGTTTCCACTAGAAATATCTCAAGTTAACTGTGGTTTTGTGGCACTTTTTTTGCAATCAGATTCTTAGAAATTGGGAAATGACTGGAGTAGAAACCATTGAGAAATTTAGGCTCCACCAAGCTTTTCTTTTCTTTGAGGTACAGGATAATCTGATTTATAATTATGCATCAGATTGGTCTCCAAGAAATGATAGATACTGTCAGAAATTTAGCAAGTCTAACCTGAGAGACAGTGTGACAATATGATAATCTACTGCTCTCTCAGAAAACATCTCTTCTAAAAAAACTGTCTATTCATGGAACAGGGTACTGGTTAAAACAATACCTTAAATACTTAAAATTACAGGATTTAAAAATTAGAAATAAGATGTTTCATTGAGGAAAATGGACATGATTATAAAAAGAAAAATCTGTATTCAAATTGTAAAACCCAGAGAGATCACTATTAGTATTTTGGGAAATTTCCCTCTTGATTAAATTTTACAGATAAGATTTGTGGCCTGCTGGTTTTTTTTTTTTTTTACTTAATATTTTTTCATGAGAATGTCCCTATGCCAGTGTAAAAGTTTACTTCAAAATAGTAGTCCTTATTAGAACTATGAAAAGTCCCTATTTAAGAAAACTCTGTATTTATGATAGAAATTAGATGTTTGCTTATTATATTACTGATTATATTTCAGTATTACAGGCACTGAAAAGGTGTTTGGGGCTTTATATTAGAGATACATGGGTGATTTCAAATCATACCAAAAAAATACCTTATCTTTCTGAATGTGTGACCTGAAGTGAATTAAATATTACTTGCAATGTACATTTTTCATATGACATATGTGTCTTGCAGGTATAGAACTGGCTAACAAGTTGGAGGAACTTAACCAGGTGAGAATGTGAAACACATGAAATCTCAATTTTCATAATTATTATAAGACAATTTCTTTTGAAACAGTAGTTTTACGAATTATTAATACTATATTTTAAAACTATTATTCTTGCTAGAAAAAGAGTGAAGTAGGAAAACAATCAAATTCTACTAAAAAAAGAAGAAAAGGAAAACAAGACGAAACTATAACTGAAGTGATCATGGGATAAAATGTCTAGAAATCCGGATTTTAGATCCAGCTCTCCAATTACCTAGGAGACCATGGAAGAATTAAAATTCTCTGGATCTAAATCTCCTCATCTGTAAAATAGGAAGCTATAATTAGATTGGTGGTTTTCAAAAGCTATTATTACTTTTCAAAGTGGAAATATTTTTTCCAAACAAAATTGTATGTGGTCCCAGTAAATGAAACATATAAACGTGGAGCTGTTCTGCTTGAAGCAGCTAGTTTGGGAGGAGAGGGAGTGAAGTGCTGCATTCTTGACCTGTCTTTGGCCTTGGGACAGGGAACCCGTTGGCAACCTTATCCCCCAACTTCTCTCTATGAGGAAAATTGGAAAATCATTGCATTAGATTATTTCTTAACTCTTTCAAACACAACTGCATGCAAATTCATTATCATATAAAGCATGTGGCTGTGAGAGAGAAGTATGCCCCATCAATTATTAGCAGCTAGGACATAGATACATGCAGTAGCTCAAGCTGAATTCTGTTTTGATAGAGTTAGATCTCCAGGGTTTAGGCAATCAGTGATCTTGCTAAAGATCAACTTGGCTTACACTCTGGATGGAAACCTTAAGTTCTCAAAATACTTCTCCTTTCCCACTAGGAAGGACAAATATTTCAGGAAATTTGAACATACACATAAGTCTTTGAAACTCCTTGAAAAGGACTGGTCATTTTGGGTGACATCAAATCAATTCCAGCCACACAGGCTGTGTTTACAGGCTTCCCATTAATGAACACTGAGACTTGGCTTCCTTCACCATAAACCTGTTTGTTCCTGATTGTCTGTTGAGTCATGGACCTTTCCCAGCCAGTTACTAAATGCAAGTTTCCTTTTATTTTTCTGTTTAATTATTTTTATTTTTTTTATTACTCATTTCTTTTTCTGTTGCTCTTTCCTCCTTCCTTTTGTCCATCTTTCCTTCTTCCTCCTTTTCTTGCTCTTTCTTCTTTCATCGAAAATGGTATTGCTGTTATTAAAAACTAATAATGTTCATATTTGATTTTTAACAGCTGGAAAAGCTAAAAGATCAGCTCATAGAAGCAAAGGATGCTGAGATGTCTTATGCGATAGAAGGTCTATCTTCTTCCCATCCTAATAAGCGAGGTAAATTTTCCCTTCAAAGTCTTAACATTGAATTCTAAAATTACTTTTGCAAGTATTTCTGAGAGGAATAAATTAAGTTGACACTTCTTTATCTTATGTTGATGATCAGATCAAAATTCATATTTAAAAAAAATAGCAATGAAGGTTTCCCCAATGGCTCAGATGATAAAGAATCTGCCTGCAATGTGGGAGATCGGGTTTCAATCCCTGGATTGGGAAGATCCCTTGGAGAAGGGAATGGCTACCCACTCCAGTATTCTTACCTGGAGAATTCCATGGACAAAGGAGCCTGATGGGGTACAGTCCGTGTGATCTCAGAGTAGGACATGACTGAGTGACTGAGCACACAGACATTCAAACGAAGGCATTAAATGTCTGTAAACTCTGTCACATATACAACATGGTTAGCAAGGTCATATGTTCCAGATTTAAGTAAAATTAGACTTTCATTGTTTAAAACTGTGTCTCACCCTTGCTATTTTGCTTAAACACTGGAGAGTAAGGAGTACTCTCATTGCTATAACACTTAGTCTAGGTTTTGATTCATAATATTCAATTTTAGAGAGATTTGTCTTTTGGATCCCTATAACTTTTTATAACATTCCTGGAAAATTCTTGTGTATTAAAAAATTGAATGTATGTCTCTTTATTCACGTTGTGATATGAGATTTGCTAAGGCATATTTTATTCATTTTCACTTGTCCCCTTCCTCTCAGGTTTGTCTTTAACTGCTGTAAAAAAGCAGTTTTTACAATGGAAGAGGATGAAACAGCATTCTTTAGACACTTAGCATATATTAGACATTTTATATTTTACTATCTCAGGTTGTTATGGTTAAGTATATAGAGTCTATAGTTAAGACTGCCTGGGTTTAAATTGTAATATTGAAATATCCTATGTGTGTGAACTTGGGCAATAATCTAACTTCCTGTGACTCATTTTCTTTGCCCCCAAATGCAAATAATAATAATCATCTTTATGGGATTGTTAGGGGGATTTTATAAGTTAGTATATGAAAGTCACTTAGAACAATATCTGGCATGTAATCAGCATTATGTAAGCCTAACTTTAAAAATTCATTTTGATCATTATTACTATAATTATTATTTTATTTTCATCATAATCACCATAAGATAGCTATTATTATGCCTATATTATAGATGGGAAAATTACATCTCAGAGGGGTTAAATAGCATGCTGAAAATAACCCAATTACTAAGTGATTTAACCAGTGAGCCTGAAGGACATAGATAGAGGATATATTGGAAGGTGGAAGGGAGAGAATCTTCAGGCTTTCTAAGGACTTTAGCTTTTACGAACTGTCATACTGGGTAAGACTGAAGGCAAAATGAGAAAGGGATGGCAGAGGATGAGATGGTTAGTTGACATCACTGACTCCAGGGAATAGTGAAAGATGGAGGAGTCTAGTTGCTTCTCTCAATACTTATAATCAATTCATAGAATCACAGAGTTGGACACGACTTAGTGGCTGAACAACAATTATCATATGGGAAATCACTAAAATTTGGAGCAAGTGAGCGCTAAGAAATGTTTCAACAGAACCACTTTTGATGTTTAATGGAGAATATACTGCTGCTGCTGCTGCTAAGTCACTTCAGTTGTGTCCAACTCTGTGTGACCCCATAGATGGCAGCCTACCAGGCTCCTCTGTCCCTGCAATTCTCCAGGCAAGAATACTGGAGTGGGTTGCCATTTCCTTCTCCAATGCATGCATGCATGCTAAGCAGCCTACCAGGTTTCTCTGTCCACAGGATTCTCCAGGCAAGAACACTGGAGTGTGTTGCCATTTCCTTCTCCAGAATATACTGCAAAGAGGAGCAAAAATGGAAGCAGAGAGACCTTTAAAGAGGCTAATTTAAGGATCTAGATAATAAATGGTGGTAACTTTAGTTAGGGTGGCAGTAGTGAATTGACAAGAAGGAGTCTGATACTAGATATATTTTGAAAAAGGAAAAAAAAAGTCAACAAAATTTGCTCTAAAATTATATGTGAGTTGTACAAAAAAGAGGAAGGTTTGTAAACGACTCCAAGGTTTTGCTCTAAGTGACTAGGGATAAAAGGGCAATTCTGTTTATTGAGGGCTTCCCTGATGGCTCAGAAGGTAAATAATCTGCCTGCAATGCAGGAAACTCAGGTTTAATCTCTCAGTGGGGAAGATCCCCTGAAGAAGGGAATGGCTACCCACTTCAGTATTCTTGCCTGGAGAATTCCATGGACAGAGAGTTGGAGGAGGCAACATGGTGCAAGGGTTTGGTGATGGAAAAGAGTTCGTATAGAGATTTGTTGAATCTTTTCATAGTCAATATGGCCTAGGCTATGATATGTTACAAATTTTAGTCCAAATCTCAGAGACTTAATATAAGGAAATCCATAAAGTTCAATGCATATAGTATTAATACAAGCCTCTTTTAGTTTGTGGCTGTATCATCTAGATTGTTGCTGTAACTTGACTGCTTCCAAGATTACCAAGATGAAGGAGAGGGATAGAGGTTGCATCTCAGCTCTCAGCTGCCTCAGCTCAGGGACATGCATCACTTCTACTGATCCACAGCCTTTAATTAGTCACTTGAGCTGCCACCAAAATATTGGAAGAACAAGCTAATAAAAGTTAGAAAGCGCTTATAAAGTACATGGGGAGTACCGCCTCCACCACAGTCAATCCTTTGATCTTTTCTTAACCACATAGACTATACTCAACTGACTCTGTGTTAGAGACAACCCCAAATTCCTTTCACTGCTGCACCCCAAACAAAGAACAGGCTCTCCAGGAGATACTAAGTGTTGTCAAATATAATGTGGCTCCACTTCATTCACAGACTTATTAGCTAAAAGGACAGATTCAATAATCAGCATGGGAATAAGGAAAGGATAACAGCAATCAATCATCTTATTCATAAAGGAAAAGAACATGAGACATGAGTGGTAACCTCTAGCAATTCTGAAATCCCACAGGGCAAATATTATAAAAGTCTCTTACCCTGGAGATGGAGAAAAGTTTCTTGCTCAGGACCTACTAGTGTGTAGGAGGAGTCCTTTGTCCATTGTGTTGTTCCTCCTTTCTCTACTTTTTCTAAAGCTTTTGCTTTTTTTTTTTTTTTCATTTTTCATCCCTCAACACAGCTTATGTGCTTTTGGGGGACTGTTCTCTTTGAGGCCTGAGTGGTCTTCTCAGGCCTCCTCCTACTCTCACAAAATTGGAGGCCCCAGGTTTGTTTCATTTTAAAGTGTCAAAGATGTTTTTAGTTCTAGGGTTTATGGTGTCTTTGACAATGATTTCTTTTACCAATTTAGACAGCCTCTCAACTATTGCTACATAGTTTTTAAAAAACTATTTTAACTATTTTGTATTCTTACCCTCAACTGAGTTGCCTGAAGAATATACTTTGAAAAGTAACACTTAATCTAATTTTTTTTGCCCTGAATTCCTTATTTCAATTGATTCTTACCTGACTTCACTCACTTAGAATCATTTTAAATCCCTTTTTATAGTTTTGGTATCTAGAAACAGCTCTTGAAATATTTCAAGGTCTTGTATTTCTGAACTACCTTTGTTTCTTTTTTATTTATTTGTAAAGATTCCATTTTCCCCTAAGCTTACTATTTCTTGTAATACCTGGCTAAGTGAATCCACCAGAAACCTAAAAATACTGCCAGTGTTCTATTTCCTTACCTTTTTCTTCTAGAAGTTCCAGAGGAACACATTCTGAATCCGAACTGTTATAGATATCAGTTTTACCACACATTTTGCTACTTTGTAAAATGACTCTTCTTGTTTCCAGCCTGTGATATCAATTTCCTTGTTAATCAGTTGCTGAGGTTGTGCCATGATTTAGCTTCCTCTTAGAGTAGCACCCTCCTTCAAGTTATTAAGGTGTATTTTGGGATAAATTAGGCAAACCACATCAACAAAATAACCTTAAAAATTCAGTGGTGTAACTTGGTTTAAGATTTTTTTCATGTTTACATGAAGCTTTGTGTACCTTGATTATTTTCCTTCGCTTTGTGCCTGCATCATGTGTCCCTTTAACAGGATAGGAAAGATATGGAGGAAAATGCATTCTTACCTTCCAAAATTAGGCACCTGTTCTCAATCTAACTTAATGGGATTAGGGGAGCACCTGGGAAATGTCAAGAAATCCAATGAACAGTTGAAGAATCCTATCTCTACTATAGATATTTTGAGCTTGTTATGCCATGCATAACAAAATCTTCCCAGTAGTGATTTGAGTAAATCCCTGAGTATATAAATTTGGAGCTCAGGGAAGTAGCCCAGACTGGAGCTCTAAACATGACAGCTACCTGCATGTCAGTATTGCTTGGTATTGTGATGAGGCTCTCTCGGGAATCATTCTGCTGCTGCTGCTGCTGCTGCTGCTAAGTCTTCAGTCGTGTCCGACTCTGTGCGACCCCATAGACGGCAGCCCACCAGGCTCCGCCGTCCCTGGGATTCTCCAGGCAAGAACACTGGAGTGGGTTGCCATTTCCTTCTCCAATGCATGAAAGTGAAAAGTGAAAGTCAAGTCGCTCAGTCATGTCCGACTCTTCGTGAACCCATGGACTGCAGCCTACCAGGCTCCTCCATCCATGGGATTTTCCAGGCAAGAGGACTGGAGTGGGTGCCACTGCCTTCTCCGAGGGAATCACTAGATAGATATAAAACAGAAGACATCCAAGGACAGATGCCAGGCCACACCAAGGTTAGAGACTGGGCAGATGAGAGAGAATTAACAAAACAGACTGAGAAGGAGCAGCTACTCTGGAGAAAGGCCACAGGGAGAAAAATGCCTCAGATGTCAAACAGAAAAACTGTTTCCAGGAAGACACAGTTCGGCTGTTCCTGAAGTTATGGTAGATCCAGTAAAATGAGAGCTCAGAATTTCCATCTGAACAGCAATGGGAAGGGTTTTAATTGTTTTGACAAGTACTATTTGATGGACTTTTGGTTAAGGAGAATATGATAAAACAACAGAAATGGCTAACAATAGACAACTCTTTTGAGGAATTTTGTTCTGAAGGGTAGTAAAAACTGAAAATTAGCTGGAGTAACTTGGAGGAGTCAAGGAAGCTTTGTGATTGTTTTTAAGAAAGGAGATATTAAAGCATTTATGCATGTAGTAGGAAAAAAGTAAATATTTGTGGTGATAAACATATGAATTAGATGCCCAGGTTAGGTGACAGAAACAACCCACATCACATCTGTCATTTTTATTGGGGTAACTAGAAACAGTCTACCATGAATAACAATATATGAAGGTGAAATGAACTCAGAGATTCAGCTTAAAGCTAGACTATCTTAGACTTCTGTGAAATAATGTTATTTGTTTAACCATTTAATATATACTTGACAGACACCTGGTAAATCCTTCCTTTCATTAAAGATACAGCTGTCCAACACCAAGCATCATGCTAAAAACAGGAATTAGAAGAGAGAACCAGATAGATGTCAAGAGACAGAAGAATGCTGGCTAGGGTGTTCCCCCCACCCCCCACATAAATGATAAATGATAGATAAGCATTGAGGAGTTGGTTCTACTGGTGATATCATTCATGAAGATTTCCTTCAACTGGGAAGTATATTCCAGAACTGAGAATGCTCTTGGGGTGCAAGTCTTGGATATGTGTAGATTTATATTTTCCTTCTTGATTGAGATATTCAAAGATATCCAAAGGGACAGAAAGGGACTTTCCAAAATATAAAAAGAATATTGGATTAGAGAGCCAAGCTCCTCAGTTTACTGTCTGAAAATAAATTTCTGCTTTCATAGGATTTGAATGTGTTTTGTTGAAAGAAAACTCTGGCTCTTTTAGGAATGAAAAGTAAACTCTGAGTACTATCGTTAACACTCTGTGTAGATGTGGTGATGAGCACTAAGGCCACAGTTTAAAGAGTAAGTGGAGTTAGGGAGAGATACCTGGGCAGGAAGATAGACTTTTATCATTTATGGCCAAGAGTGTCTTAACTGTCCTATGAGTTCTTCAACTCATTTTTATTGTGCATCCCATTAATCAATAGTGAATCAAAGACCTATCTCCCCAAGGTCTTCATTTTATAAAATATTTAGTTTGAAGGAAATTAGAGAAGTTTTAATTAACTAGATGAAGCTAATGTTAAGTCAGATAATTGATTGAGAACAATCCACAGAAGATTTGAAATCACTCATTCATGCATTTAAAGATTTAAAGTGCTGCTTGAATTAGTTTGATTTTTTTCTGAAGAATCACTTTATGATCAGAATGTGAGACTCAGTTTGACAATCAAATTACATAAATATCATATGGTGGTTTGCAAAGGGAAGTTTAAATTCTCTTCCTTCTTTTTCCTCCAGTAAATAGAAGCATATTTATCACTAATTTTGCTTATTTGCTTAGTCCTCTTTGGGACTTAAGTTACGCCAACTCTAAACAGAAAATTAAAGTTGCTCAGTTCTGTCTGACTCTTTGTGACCCCATTGAATAGTCTATGGAGTTCTCCAGGCCAGAAAACTGGAGTGGGTAATCTTCCCAACCCAGGGATTGAACCCAGGTCTCCTACACTGCAGACAGATTCTTTACCAGTTGAACCACCAGGGAAGCCCTCCTAAAATAGAGGAGTACATCTAGTGGGATGGCCTATTGTATTCTTTGAATTGTATTACATGCATTATAATGTAAAACAGAGCTGTCCATTAGAACTTTCTTTAATGAGATGACCATTCTCTAACTTGCACTGCCTGTTATGGTCATCTAGTGAGCACTTAAAAGTTGGTTAGTATTATAGAGAGGCTGAATCTTCAAAAATTTATTTAATTTTAATTAATTTAAAGATCCATATGAGGCTGACTACCACTAAATATCTGTTTTAGAAAACTTTCTCATACTCAGGCTTACTTAAACTATTTTATTTAAGTGTAATATTTTTATTAAAAATCTTTCTAATAAACACTTGTTTTGTTTCTTTTTTAGCTTGTTTTTGGAAATACTGTGTCTAAAGTTTTTGCTCTGGGTGCAAAAAAGGGTAAGAACATTAGAAAAAGTCACATATCTACCTACTCTACTGTTTAAAGATCAAAGCTATTTCAAGAATAAAAAAAGAGTGGCAGAATTTATACAGCTTGTTACATGCTGAAAGTTGATGCTGTGAACCGTAGTGACAAAGTAGTTGCACTTGAATAGCATGGACTATCAGAATGACTCTGTAGAGCTAAAGCTGAGAGTTCTGCACCTATTGTATGCTTTCCATAAATTTATTGTCCACATATCATTTTGTTCAGTGATGACTAAGTGCTTGAGCTATCAATTAAAAAATTTAAAAATTGCTTTGGAAAATTAAATTATATTGTCTGAATCTATGTGGAAAATATGTATCTTTGTTCTTTCTCTTTTTTTGTGAGTCTGCTGGCTACTATCTCTTTTCTGTTCATTAGAATAATTGTTAATAAGACTCTTAGTACCAAATAAATGCGTTACTAGGGAGCAGAAATCTTGTTTATCGGACTCTAGGAAAAAGTAGTACTAGGTGTTTGAGAGAGAGATATTAAGAAGATTTTCTTACATAACAATTTGCCTTTGGGCCCCTTAATTCTTATCTCTGCCTTCATCACAGTATCAGAAATTGAGACTTCTAGCATGTCTGTGAGAGACTAGATTCAGTTTGCTAAAAACATCAAGCTAAACACAAAAGCTCATTGAGTTTTTTTTTCATTCATTTCTTTCTCACATCTTCACATTAAACTGCTCTTGCTTATGTCTGAACAAACATATTTAATCAATTCAAGGCTAGGAATCCAACTTCACTTTTATTTGCCACCTGTGGTGACACTGAAACATTGTCAAAGAAAGTTTATAATTAAAAAATATCAGTGGTAGACTATCAATGGTCAGATAGTCTACAGGCATTCCCTTATATCACAGTACGGGGGAAATGTAGTTTATCTACATATATCAATTATGTGGTTCTTAACAATAAAACTATCTTATGACTTAGATTGAGCAATATTGCTTAAGTGAAAAACAATTTAAAAATTCATAAATCAGACCAAGTTGAGTAATATACCTGTAGTGCTTTAAATAAACTTTTTAGGAGCTACTTGAATGTACATAAATATATAGTTGCTTAATAATGCCTGAATGCTTCTCACATATTTACACCTGCTGTGAACACAAGCATGATATTATTATAAACAAAGATAAAATGCCTGTTTTCATCATTTCATGTTTGTTAACTTTGGCACAGTTGAATGATATTCAAGCATTTTTAAACTTTAGGGGTAATGTTATTCAAAAAGTTTCTGATACTTTTTCCCTTTAGAGAAAGTTATTAATACTTTTTCTTATAATTTGTTATTTTTTTAAATTTGCCTTAAGAAGTTTAATTCCCTAACAATATCTGTAAAGTAAAGGTAGAATTCCCTAGATATTTTTTGTTTTTGTAGTCAGCAATTAACATCCCCCATGAAAAATTAGTTATGTAATTAACACCAGAATTCAGAAATCCCTATTCACTGCTTCATGAAGCTTCACACAGGAACAAAGAAGAAGAAAAGGTGATCTATTTCTTTGAAACTAGATGAAAAGTCCCTTCAAGCTGGTAACTTTCAATGACATATAGCTGGATTTAGTAATACACAATACATTGTACAAATGGATGAGATGACTTGTCATATTCTTGAGAAATTATTATTTAATTTCCTGATATGTTAAACAAATATCTTATTTTAAAGTAGAATACCACTCATGATTTTTCTACTCTATATAAAGTAGTTGTAGAAATTAAAATATGAAATCAAATAGTTACAAGTAGAGAAAACATTTTTCTTTTTTTCTTCATGTAAGTCTGGTGTATATTCTATGAGGCAAACGTATTACACATCAGAACAAAGTGTAAATCAATATATTGTGACTTCTTACTTTAGTTAAAATGGAAGCACAAAAGCATAATTTTGAATTTAAAAATTAAAGAAGATAGGAAATCAATTTGTTTAATCCAACTTTAAATCTTTACCATGATAAATTTTTAGGCTACACTAGGTTTTAATACCTTTTGTCAAAGCATGCATGAAGCAGCAGCATCCAGTTGGATTGGAGTGGAATGGAGTGTTAATCACTCAGTCATGTCCAACTCTTTGTGACTCCATGGACTGTAGCCTGCCAGTCTCTTCTGTCCATGGAATTCTCTAGGCAAGAATACTGGAGTGGGTAGCCATTCCCTTCTCCAGGAGATCTTCCTGACCCAGGGATCAAAGCCAGGTTTTCTGCATTGCAGACAGAGTCTGACAAATATCCAAATGGGAGAAAAATGAAAGAGTTGCTAAGGAATAGGATACATTTCTATAAATCATCACAGAGTTGGGCAAGATAAATTATAACTTAAAAATTCTTTCAAATAGTAAGTTCTGCAGGATCTTTGTCTGTGTACCACTGCTAAATTTCTAGTGCAAGAATATGAACAGAAATCAAAGGATCCGTGAGTTTTCTCAAAATTTACTTTTCTTTGCTAAGGCTCCTCTATTACAATTCAAAGAATATTTCATTTTCAGTTTTTTTCTAAATTAAATTTAAAGATTTTCAGCAGTTAGAAAATTTCTCCCCCAAAGAAACTACACACAAAATCACTTTCTGTACAATGAATGCTAACTATATATGTTCATTTCTGTGTTTGAGTTTATTTTATTCTTTGGATTGTATGTTGATTTATTTTTAGTTAAAATCAACAACTACCCACTTCTCTCCTCTTCTTCCAGTATAACTGTAACTTCTCATTACACTCTTCCTTTTTAGCTAAAATAAACCTTCCTTTACTGGTCAAACTTTTTTTCTCACATATCAGGTCTGCTTGACAGTGATTACTAGAGTTTAAAGAAGTGTTTTCAGAGGCTTTTTAAACTTCTGCTAATTTATGCTAAATCTCTTGTTCAAGTGATAAATCCTCTGTATGTTTTTTTAAAGCATATACAATGCACAATGGGCTTATGCACTTAAATTACAGCAACAATGCAGTTTTTGCTGAGGACTGCTTCCCAGAATACCAAACCTTGTGCTTTCATAGGCAAATTAAAAATAATTTGAATCATTTTAAAGAAATCATTCTCAAATATATTATACTCTTCAATGCTTTATTAAACACAATATATGAAACAGATTAAATGGATTCATAGATGGGTGGTTAACATTAAGAAGACTGCTTATTGTAATGTGCTAAAATGTATTGTGCTTCAATTAGGTGAACTGAACTGGCCCCAAGAGCTCTGGCGGTTTCCTATTTGACTTCCCCCACAAGTTCATGTTATTTCTGTAAATAGCTCTCCTAATCAGCCACTGCTACTCTCAATTAACTATAAGTTATAATTTAGAGAAATGGAAAGTTGTTAGGGGACACGAGATAGCCAAACTTGGCAAATGAATAATATTCTTCGATTCCTGGTTCTAAGTCAGTATGCTCTGACCTGCAGTGTTTCTCAATTTATAGGGAGAATAAAATTTATGGGTTTAATTACTGCTGTTTTTTCTTGCTCAGAGAGTTTTTCTCTTATATCTGGAACTA